GTGGTGACAAGGTGGTACGAATCTTCACCATACGATCCGAATAATCTTTTGAGATAGAGACCTTCTCCAACTCTTCAACGGGTTGTGCTTACTGGGTGAAAGAGTCATCTCGAGGATCGTCGGGTTAACTGTTGCCACTGTGAAGATCCAAGTTGGCTTCGTCTGGGCTGGTCTTTATGACTTGGTCATGTATAGAAAGGGTTTCCTTGGGCACAAACAGGTGTTGTTGCTTGACCGAAGTGTTGTAACATGATCATGCACTAAGTTGATCTCCTCTGATGTAACCATTGCCATAGGGGGTTGGAAATTTCATCAACATATATGTGGATACCATGGCCTTGAGATCATTGATGCCTGTGCATCCGAAGATAACATTGTATGCCGTTGGGCAATCAACCACCAGGAAGTTAGTGGTAATGGTAGCTGTGTAAGGGCCTGTACCAATGGTGAAAGGTAAGTGTATGCTCCCCAAAGGTTGCACAATATCACCGGAGAAGCTTATCAAAGGGGAAATCGAGCGGTCGAGCAAGTGTTCAGCTACATTAAGTGCCCTAAAAGCTTCAGCAAACATGATATTGACCGAAGCCCCCGTGTTTACCAGGATTTGTCGTACTTCAAAGTTGGCTATGTGAGCTTCCACGATCGGTGGGTCGTTGTGAGGGTAGATGATACCTCTTTCTTCCTCATGGTAGAAACATATTAGATCCCAGTTAGGCTTTTGATACTTACCTCCCCTGATGTCTTCCACGTGAAACACTTGGTGACCAGACCTTAAAGCTCGTTCACTATTTTTCATGGCCCTGTTGGAAGATTTAGATATGGGTGTGCCACCACTTATGGAATATATCACATTTACCTGGCGTTGGTTATGGTTACCCCTTGGAGGGTGAATGAGGAATTGATCAATTTTTCCTTCACGTGTCAAAGCTTCAATATGATCACGAAAGGTGATACATTTCTTGCCGTCATGGCCGTTATGCTCGTGGTAGCAGCAAAACGTGCCCATGTTCTTCGTGGGCTTGTAATTCGGGTGCCTCGGATTTGGCTTCAGTATCAAATGTGCTATGCTGGGGTAAATGGCCACACATGTGGCGTTCAAAGGTGTGTATGCCTCATACCTCGGGGTAGGGGATGTCCTGACACGTGCTTGACCCACTGTGTTGACTGCCTAGGGTCAAAGATTATCATGGCGATACCCTTGGTTATCGCGGTAGTGTCCCTTACTCCTTTTACTAAAATGAGACTGGTGAGGTGGAAATCTTTCCTTTTACCCTGAGATTGATATGTCTATTGACTTGGCAAAGTATTAAGTAAGGCATGGGGAGGCACCATTGCCGTTTGGAAGGTCGATGTCTTCTCATTTGGTTAGATCTGGCTTCCACTCCCTACTTGCTAATAAGGGGTGTTGTGGGGGGTTTCCCTTGATATGTCCTTGCCTCGGCGGAGACATGGTTATAAGCATGTGCCATCACCTCAGAGTAAGTCTTCTAAGTGTTGGCATTGATCATGTACTTGAAGAAACAATCATGTAGGCCTGCCGTGAAGGCCTTGAGGGCGGTCTTGTCATCTGCCTCAGTGCAGCGAGAATACTTATGGCTGAAACGACCAGCATACTCTCGTAGTGACTCGTCCGGCTTCTGGCGAATAGTGTACAAGTCATCTACAAAATGCAAGCGATCGGTCTAAAAAAATGTGTTGAGAGATAAATAGTTTCTTCAGCTTCTTAAATGAGTCCATTGTCTCGGGTGGAAGATGGCAATACCAGTTTAGAGCTCCGCCAGAGAGGGTAGAGGGGAAGAGAAGACATCGCTCTTCATCGGTATGCATCTGATATGCCATGGTGGACTCAAAGAGGTTAAGGTGTTCAATTGGGTCCTCCCTTCAAGTATAGAGTTGTAAACCAAGCTTTTGTTTTGTCTTTGCTTGAAGGGGGTGTCGAGGATCCTCCTTGTGAGAGGGCCAGGCTTGGGTTGGTTCCAGTCAGGTATCTCGGCTTGACGTTCGGCCTTTAACTTGTTTACTTCCTCAAGGAGCTGTAGGACAAGGGGGTCATGAGTGGAGTCATGTACCATTGGGATTTTCTTTCGTAAGTCTCCATCGCCTCTTGGAAGTAGGAAAGTTTAAGCAAGGGCGTGTGATTTTTCCTTAGACTCACCGTTCTAACTTCTAAGGCGAGTTTGTCGGAATACCTCAAAGTCCCCTGTACCTTCATGTTCCTCTGGGACCTGTCGTTCCTTCCCTAGATTAGCAGCTGGCCTGGGTCGTGGGAGGGGACCGAGTCTTTCAGAAACCCTTGGGTCATTGATCTTCGAGCATATGTGGAGGGGATTCTCTCGACGTTGCTTTAGGAAGTCTCAGCAGTCACAATAAACGACTTTCGATCCTTCCAACCCTTCTGCAAGGAGGTGTCTTCCTCCACTTCTCCTGCTTCGGGTTGAAGCAGCTAGGTTGAGAGAAGTCTCATATTGATCAATGTTTTGATGATTAGCTTACTCCTCATCAGGGATACCCATGTCGAAGGAAGGTGACCTTCCGTGTTGGGGGGCACCTGGGTGATGATTGATGTCCACAGGGGTAACGAGCTCACATGTTTGTGTACGCCTAGTTTCGTGAAGCGTCTTAAAGAGCTTCTCATACTGCTCCTAGAGGACCTCATTCTTCATTGCTATCTTGTTGTTCTGAGCTTCTAACTCATCGACTTTAGCTTGAAGAGCAAACCTTTTTCCTTCATTCTTTCGTTGCTTCGCACTAGGTGCAAGAGGGGTGTCATTCTGTGTGCTGCGGCTTCCTTCGCTCCCCATGTTGGAGAGGGATGCCTGGTCAAAAGAGAGTGTACGAATGGTGGAAACCAGCTTGACAAAGCTGAAGAGAGTGGGAATAAGTGTCGTTCCCACAGACGATGCCAAATGTTGATGCACAAAATCAGTGAGGACTTTAGTATAATAGAAAGTGTTAAGTTTGTGACCTTCGCTAGATTGCTCCGGTCACTAGTGTGGATAAGTATGTAAATGGATAGGGACAGGGAAGCAAACACAAGATGTACGTGGTTCACCCAGATTGGCTACGTCCACGGAGTAGAGGAGTTCTCATTAATTGTGAAAGGTTTACACAAGTACATAGGTTCAAGCTCTCCTTTAGTGGGTACAAGTGAATGATTTAGTACAAATGACATTAGGAAATACTGTGAGAGAATGATCTTTATTTATAAAAGAGAGTTTCTAGTTTCATTCTGACAATAACATGTGTCGTGTTGTGATTGGCTTTTGATGTTAACATGTGTCGCGCTATGATTGGCTTCTGATGTCAACACGTGTCGCGCTATGATTGGCTTCTTAGTTTAAGGGAAACTTTTCTGGGTCCTTGACGGTATAACGTTGACTGGTGCTCAGTAGTTTCTGGATTGGTCAACTGGTGCTCATTAGTTTCTGGATTGGTCAAGTATGGTATAAACATAGCATTATACTAAAAACCATATATAACTCATCTAAGAAATATAGAACTAAAAAGAATATATGTTACGTATATTTAATTACAAAATATAGTGCGTACTAAATATTATGAGTTTTTGAATAATTTTTTTTTAACAAATCTATTTTATTTGTGATTTCGTGGTATTAGGATTCTAGGAATAATTTTCATTTTTAATTTTTTTCTTGTAATTATAAAGTAATAGTATTCTAGGAATTAGGGATTTAATGGCACATAAACGCCAAACATGCTTATTGTAAAACACCAAACACGCTTCATTTTTTCCCCAAATATGTTTCACTTAACTAACTACCTAGACGACATCGTCTCTTAGAAAAAAAATGAAGGAGTTAAGAGCCTTCTTCTTCCTCGCGAAGGTCTGTAACTTAGCCCGCTGATGGTGATTTGGCTTTGATTTTTCTGCTTTTGGTTGATTTTGGCTTTCATTAAGCTTGAAATCTGACCCTACAAGTCAATATCTAAACCACTTGTGTACATTGTTTTGAGCTTTATAGTAAGCAAAGCAAATCGCTGTGGGTTGTTTGATGGCAGACTGCTGCCTAGAGCCGCTGGAGCCACCTAAAGCGCCTAGCGATTGCCTAAATCCTCCCTGATTTTCTAAATGGTTTGGCCTGAATCGGATTGGAACACCATCGCCGAGCGCCTAGACGCTGCCTAGGCCAATTTTTAGAACACTGACTTCATCAATTGATGGTTTTTTGTTTAGAATAATTACTATGAGATAAATTAGAAATATGTAACGATATTACAATTGAAAATCATCATCGATTAGTTCAAACAATCTTATTCCAATTTTGAATAGTTCCAAACATATTCCGGATAGTTCAACTCAGATTTTGGATAGTTCCAAATCATCATCAATATGCTTTTTCTTGTATTAACAATAAAACTATGGTGACACGTGACATGTTTTTAGAGTATGAAACTTCGTCGTGAGCAAATTAGTTTTTGTAGCTTGTAATGCTGCTTGTACAAGATTATGAATGAAAAGTTAGTAATTTATCATATACATTTTCAATGTTATTTTCGTTGGAGCTTTCATATTGGAACACTCGATGTTAGAACCTGGATCCATGACTGATAACACGCATGAATTAAGTCTTGAGAAAAACTATTGTACCTCCAACCGAGATTCTGGTCGCCGGAATCGCAAAGACAGAAAGACAGCGGTTCGAAGGGATGAGAAAGCAAAAGAGAAAACTGCCTCGAGGAGCTTTAAGCAGTATGCTAATGCCACACGGAGTTGAGAGTTGGGATGACTGACAACATCTCTACACGTCGAGATTTGTCATTGCTTCCAATAAGACATCGCCACGTCAAATACGTCCACGCCTGCACCTTCTGTTCACTTAGACTGACAAAATTGCCACAGGCAAAACTATACAATCCCTCCACGTAAGAGCCTAACAAAACTACCAAGAAAAGGTTAGTTTAGTCAATTTAACGAATTCTTGTTACTGTACCCATTTAAACCGGGTATAAATAAACAAAGAAAAATAAAAGACGAGAGGAAAAAAGGAACTAAAATTGGTTTGGTTCGTAAATTAAATTAAAATATATAAATTAAAATAAAGAAGAGTGGGTAAAATAATGGCGCGGTGAGTAGTAGTTGTTGAAATCGCCAGATTGCAGGTTTCGATTTCATCAATTCTGTTTGATCTTCGTCGAATTCAGAGCTTCTGATCATCCTCCCATGGCTGCTCCGTTTTTCTCAACGCCTTTTCAGCCTTTCGTTTACCAGGTACTCATCTTTTATTCATAATTTATGAATTAATTAAAAAAAATTATAGTCTTCTGTTTGGTTGCCGAGAAAGGTCGAAAATTGGTTAATTTCCGCATCTATTGTGTTGATAAATCAGTTAATTACTGAATTGCAGAGACTGAATGAAGCAATGGATTTTTGATCTGAAGTTTTTGCTTCAAGCTAGGGTTTTGATTCGTGGTAGTAGTGTAGTGCTGCTGATTAGCTAAGATGATCTGTGTTTATCAGCTAATTAGATGCAAGGTTTAATTCAATGCTTGAGATTTGCTTAGGTAGTGTTCAGTTGCATCCTGCCCTTTAGCTTATGCAAATTATGTAATATGGGGGAAGAAATTATGCGTAACCGGATACCGGGTTTAGTTGGAAAATATAGAATGGTTAAGAATGAAGTAGACAATAAGTTGGATGCTATACAAGGTAGATTGGCATGGATGTACTCCATGGAAATTTTGATGTGATAAAAGTTTTGATCTTTGGCTGTACGGCTCACGTGCATGATCCTTCAAACCGACATTCCAACTTCAATGGTTCAGATTGAGGTGATTTAGAGTTTCATTACGGCATTAACATGTCTGGATGCACAACTGATAGATGCTGAATTCGTGGTTTGATTGTGCCACCATGAACCTATAACTTCATTCTCCAAACAGAGATACTCAGCCACTTGATGATGGCTCGACTCGTTAGCGGCTTCTATAGCCGTCCATATTTATGTTTGTATCACCAGCGCTACTATTAAGAAGCAACGGTGGATGTTTATTGACTTATATAGAAGTATATGTCGGTTCGATGTGTTGTATTGGAAGTATAAACTATACATGGAGATTTTTATTTCTTATTAATATTTCTGCTACTGTTGCGGGAATTTGGACATATATTGGCGGACAAATGCCGTACTTTGAGTAGAATCCTTTCCGTCTGCAACAAACCAATTTTTTTCTCCATTTTTGCAAGATTTTGTTCACTTCCATTTTTGGTATAGACTAATTTGATACATGGTAATCTATAATACACTTTGAATCGAAATGTCTAGTCATTGGTGGGTATTGGTATTTATCTCATGTTAATGGTCATTACACTGGCTTATGGTGTCTGGTTTGTTCCGCGAATATTTAATTGTCGACCATAATGCAAAAGTATGAAGTTGGATTGTGCAATAACTTAAGAGTTACTGATGTTTGTATCTTCTATAATGTACCGTAGAGTCCACAAGATGCCGTGATACCTTTTCAAATTTTGGGCGGTGAAGCTCAACTGGTTCAGGTACATGCTATGAGAATCCCAACCTATATCGTGTGTGTGTGTGTATCTCCTGTCTGTATTTTCTCCTTATCATCTGATTGCTTTTTCATCACTAGAATTACAAACTTCTGCATTTGGTATATCAGATAATGTTGAAGCCAGAAGAAAAGGTTATAGCCAAGCCTGGTAAGTTGCAAGCCTGGGCTTTTTCTTTCTGTGAGTGCATTGTCACAATGAAGTTATCTAATATCCGACCTGTTTGCAAGGCCTTAGAGAAAATGTAATTTGTTGTCACTATTGCACGTGCATCTGATTGACAAATAAATTTTAGGTTCAATGTGCTTCATGTCTGGGTCAATGGAAATGGAAAATGTCTTTGTTCCTGAAAATGAAGGAAGCATGTGGCAGTGGATTTTTGGGAAGACGGTCAGTAGCATAGTTTTCTGTAATGCTGGTCCAGGTGATGGATTTGTTGGAATTGCTGCACCTTCTCTTGCGAGAGTTCTCCCGGTTGGTGATTTTAAGCATGCCAACTTTATGTGGATAAGGCACTTTTTTATTACCTAGCATTCCTCTTGATCCCAACCATGGTAAATGACTTAGTTTTGTTTCGGTTGTATGTATTTTTGTTTCTTTTGACAGATTGATTTAGCTATGTTTGGTGGAGAGATTTTGTGCCAGGTATATATAATTTTCCTGTTCAGTAATTGTGTCCTATCAGTTTCTGTTATTCTCCCAGTTTTTGTTGAACAAATTTAGATATTCCATGCTTTCTGTTACAATCACTTCGTATTAGTTTAATCAACTGGAATTTTATGGAGTTCGTTACAATTTTTGTAGCCAGATGCATTCCTTTGTTCTGTGAATGATGTGAGAGTCAGTAATACACTCAACCAAAGGGCACGTAATGTTATTCCTGGTCCAGAGGTGAGATATTAGAGACGTTTCAGAATCGCTTCTCTTGAATTTGCTTAGATTGCTCCTACAATCAACTAATTTCCCTTTTCCATTTTCTAATTCGTCACTTCAATTGTTTCTCAAGGCCATTTGTATTATCTTTATCTTTCTGACGGCTGTGATAATACTTTTACAGATATTTTTAAGACAGAAGCTATCTGGCCAAGGTCTTGCATTTATCCTTGGAGGTGGATCTGGTAAGTGTTTAAATTTCAGGTTCAGCCTCTTAAAATTTTGGTCTGCCCAAATTTATGTCGAGAATTTTATTTCTTGCTTTAAATTGAAGGCATTTTATGCCTGTTGAAGCTTTACAATTCTCGGTGGTTTATTTCTATTTGCACATGTTTTCCATAATCTATTCAGTCATTTACTTAGCTTAAAAACTCAATTCAGATGTGTTGATGTACTTTCCGAATCAGATTACCCTCATTTTTGTCTCCTTTTGTCCTTCTGTTTTTTATTTGACCCATTGCCTTGAACTCCAAACCAACCTGTCTATAGTTTATTTTGTTTCATGAGAGAATGAAATTAAAAGACTGATTACCTCTTTTTGGAAAAAAATAAGGTGCCATTTGATAATCATTGCGTTATCAATATTATTTTTTTGTTTTCACTTTTTTGAAAACTGAAAACTTGAATAATGAAAACTAAAAACTGAAAACAACATGGTTAGCAAGGGGCCCCTAAATTAGTTAGGATTAAGGCTTACTGAAGTTATGGTAGGAATTATCAACCTAAGACTAATTGCAAGCCTTTCTTGTTTCTCCATTTGCCAGTTGTACAGAAAAATCTTGAAGTGGGAGAGGTATTATCTGTTGATGTGTCTTGTATAGCTGCTGTAACTGCAACAGTCAATATCCAAATCAAATTCAACGGTACTGTGAGAAGAGCACTGTTTGGTGTAAGTTGCTTCTGTTTCTTTCTGTTTGCACTCTTTTTGAGTGCTTCTATTTCTACACATAGTTGGCATTGTATTACATGTTCATTACTTGCAAGTTTGCCATGTACTTTATAATATCTCGATTGGGCGAACCTATTAGTTGCCCTGCAGAGCACTCAAATCTCCAGGCTTAAGGGTTATGGCGGGATGCCCCCATTTAAGGATTGAAATTTGAACAGCATGACTATCGGAGAGGTCCAGAGCACTTCCTGGCATCCAAATTATGGGCTGCCAATGCAACTGAATGAAACATTCAGGAAGTGCTTTGGACCACATTGAACAAAATTAGCATCATCCTTGTATAGTTGCATTACATATAATATATTGCTGTCCACATTTATTGGCATGACACATAAGAGGCAATTTGATTTCAACCCCAGCGGATGATTAGAAGACACTTTGAGTGCAAATGAACTTATTCTTCGAGCTCCACCCCGATGTTGAAAACTCTTTCTAACATGTTTTCCGGCTCCTGAAATTATACAGCTTGAACATGCTATTTCTTTCCATTTCCAATTTCCAAGAATCAAATTTTCCTAACAGTTGACCAAATCACAGAGTGACAATCTGGTAACGGCTGTTCTAACTGGGCCAGGCATTGTCTTCATTCAGAGTTTACCTTTTCATCGATTTTCTCAGCGTATTGCTAGGTAACAACGTTTTGTTCAGTTTCATTTGTTTACTAATGCTTTATTCTGGCTTTAACAAATAGAATGTACGGATTTTGTTTACAGGGCAGTTACATCTCCAAACATGAGGGAAAATCCGAAGTTCTACGTGCAGATAGCCATTTTCTTTTTCCTGGCATATGTTGTGATTGTATCTTCGTTAATCTTGACCGATGTATGAATTTCACCTTTTTTTTCTTTTCATCTTCTATCCAGAGGTACCAGTATCATATCCCTTCAGTGGTTTCTGTAGCTCGATTTGGTTTCAATATAATCAGGTCAATAGAAATAGAAGATTTTAGATTTTTTTCACTCGGATTTCTGTTTTACTTTGCCTAAAATTCTTGGTCAATCATGTGTACGGATTGAGTTGTAAATTAAAGCCTCGCGTTATGTTTTTGAGTTTCGTTTTACTCTCAAATTAGCGTAAGTAATTTGTCGTCGATATTTGATTTGGCATATGTTTGGAATAATGAAATTTGAACCAAACAAAACAACGTGACTCGTTAAATGAAATTTGTAGCTTTTGAAGGCTAATGAATCGGAAGCAATTAACTACAACATTAGTCGTGTCAAATCTACATGAAAATAAGAGGTTTCGACGCAGGCAGAATATTGCGTTGTCTCAAAGGGATGGCGCGTGGAATCTTGTGGTTGCCAACGAAGAAGGGATGCTTGAGCGCTTCAGCAGCAGCAGGCCTTGCGGAAGGGTCCCAAGAACGAAGTGAAGAAATCAGCTGGATGACAGATCTGCTTGCCCAAGGAATCATCGCAGATAGATCAACACCGTGAAGTTGTGGAAGCTCATAGTTCAAGTTTTGGGCAAGAAGCTCTCCCTCTGGCCATGTCTCCCAAGTTGGACTGCCAATGACGCTGCAAATCTTGAAGGCAGCTCTGCTATGATGGCGCCCATTGCCCACATATCGACCTTAGGACCGTAGAAGCCTGACCGCAGCAACACCTCAGGAGCTCGATAAGGGCGAGTGGTGACGTAGTCTGTGTAGGGAGGGGGCGAATCGCAGTCTTGACCACACGTGCACCATCGTTAACTAAGACGTTAGCGGGCTTCAAATCACGGTGGAAATAGCCGTTTCTGTGCATATATTCCAGGCCATGAAACATCTGAAAGCAGATGCTTGGAACTTCATCCTCGGTGAATTTGATTTGGTTCGCCTTTTGATCATATGATCAAGGAGACTGCTCTGCATATACTCGAAGACAAGAATGCAGAATCGTATTGGGGAAGACACTCTTCAACTGGACAATGTTGTGCTGCGCCTTAAATGCCGTCCCGAAAGAACCACCGCCTAGTTCCTCAAGAATAAAAAACTCCTCCATGATCCGGTCGTAACTCGTTAAGGAACTGAACCTCAAAAGCCAAAGAAATATGTGACAAATTTCAAAGCGTTTTCGCCTTTTCGAAGATGAAAAAGGAGTTTGGCGTGAACCCAATTGAGAGAACTACTTGCGATCTCTGAGGAGGCAAACCCCTCCTCGAATGTATGATCAGTGATGAGGGTTTTGATCTCTGAGAACAGAAGACATGAAAGTTGAGAGCTTTTGAGAAAACGAGAGAGAGAGAGTGAGAGAGAGGGGCAAGTTTCTAATTTTTAGATTAATTTCATTATTTCCTGATGGAATTAGCAAAGGCGGGAAGCAGCAACACTCAGTAGTTCAGTCGCCCCCATTTCACTCCAATGAGTACTCTCTTCACCTTGGTAGGAAAAAGAGAGGGGCTTTTTCGTCAATTCGCACAATCCGGTTTTACTCTAGGCACAAGGATTTTCTAAAACGGGAGAGGATCCTTTCCGGATTCACTTTATGAGAATCTTAGGAATATTCACATCTTAACTGTTCATCGTACATTGTACAATCAGTTTCGTCAGATATTATTTTATGTTTAATTGTAAATAAAATAAAAAAGCAAATAATTTTTAACCGTACGATGCACGATAAATAGCTAAGATGTGAGGATTTTTAGAATTCCTACAATTTGGATCCGAATGGGATCCAAATCCTTCTAAAACGCATTTTTTTCTGTCATGTGTCAGTGGCTCAACGATCCAGATATCATAAAACACTGTTGTGGGAAATTGTTAAGTGAAAATTGAAGTTAAACTACTAAGGAGAGAGACAACGCAGAGAAAAGCCCACTTCCCCTCACAACAACAAAGCTCTCTCCCTCATCTCTAATTCTTCTAATTGAGATATGATTATCGCCGGAACCTCTTTGTGAGGATCCCAGGAATCCTTTAATTTTGTCTATATATCGTAAATTGTGCGACCAATTTTCGTCAGGTATTGTTTGTGTTCAATTTTAAATAATATAATTTAAAATGATTTCTGACTGCACGATATACAATGAAATGATAAGATTAAAGGATCTCCGGGATCCTCACAAAGAGGATTGGGCGAGGATCCTATCTCCTTCTAATTAACTAGGCTACTTTGCACTTATTTAGAACATCTTCAACCAATATGTTAAAATCTTACTTTTAGAGTTTTAATAGTAATATTTTATGTTACAAACTCCTCTAACCAAAGAGTTAATGCTGACTAAGATTTAAAGGTAAGAAGCATGAGGCTATACCATTCGACAACTAAGTTAGAGCATCTTCAATGAAGATGTCAAATTTCTTTTTCTCCCCAAACTATATTTTTTGCAGTTGCAATAATAAATGTAAGACTAGGTTTTTTTATTTATTTTTATTACATGTGATATCTACACTAGGCGGTGTGGGAGGCTTAGGGATGGCCATAATAAATTTGATTCAAATTAGTGTTTAGCAAGACTCGAACTTAAGATCTCTTACTTACAAGTAAAGATGAATACTACTAACTGTAATATTAAGTGACAAATGTAGAACCTTTTAAAAAAGAAATTAAAAAATTAGAAAAATTAAAATGACAGCAGCTTTAAGCTCTACAGGATTCTGCAAGAGACTATCGGAAAAATACATGAACAAAAACACAGCAGGTTCTACTTGAGATGCGACAGAAATATGCATCAAGTTGGATATGCAGACTGTAAAAGAGCTAAGAACGAAAAGTGAAATCGAAGAAACCCAAAGAACGAAAGAGTGAGCTACAATGCTATATACGTTGTCTGCAGAATGTCTGATGAGTTGAAAATCCCTACTCTTCGACGATTATTAGAGACAATCTCCCTGTAAAACACATATTCATTGTTATAAGTATAGAAAACCAAGCAGAGGTTCAGCCTTCAGCTTTAGACCTAGATGACAATATTAACATAATTCTCCACACACATTACACACTTCATCTTCCTGTGCTTCCAGCATATCCCAACAAGTTATATCAAGAGTCAAAGACTCGAATCACGCAAGATACTTAAACAAGTTACGATCTTCCTTGTCCCTCTCCAGGTAGTCACGGATGATGAGACCTTCAATCTGCTTCTTAATCGCTCTGATGTCAGGCTTGAACTTATGTCTCAACTGCTCAACACACTCCGTAACTAACTGTTGATGTTCCAAAACTTTCCGGCTCTTCATAATCCGCACAATTGCTGCATCAATAGCATATCGTCTTTCTTTCTCAACATCTTGGATCACCTCCTTCCTTTCCTCCACTGGTGGGAGAGGAATCTTAATTCTTCTCATTCTGTCGGTGAACTTATAGTTGAACTCAAAGCTGTCATTTGGTGATATAGTTTTTGTATCAGGCTCCTTAATAAGGATCTTGTACTTGGCACAGGAAAGCGAATGAAGAACCCTGATAGCCGCCTCATGGGTAAGGTTTAACTTACTTAGAATTTCTGAATAGCTCAACCTATCCATGCTATTGAAAAGCAGTAGGAGAGCACCCTGATAAGTCGATACAACCAATTCAATTTCTTTTAGCTCGAACTTTCCAATAATGTTGCAAGTTCCCAAAGAGTAGATCCATGTAATTTTTCTGCATTTCGTCTTTCTTTCATAGAATCCCTTGAAAACTTCAACACATTTCACCATCTCTGCAGGAAGGCTAAGATCACATGTTTTATAACTCGGCCAGAAACCAGTTGTAAGAACGGTGATTGTAAAATCAATCCCAGGATCTACATTTGGGCTATTGCAAAGGTACTCCTCAAAGCTAGTCTGATTTTCCCGAGCCAATGTCAGATCTGTGACCATTCCCTCCATTTTTGAGGTGAACTGGCCACCACATTGCTGTTTCATCTTTGTAAGAATACTTTTTTCATGTTCCTTGTCAGCACTTGGATCAAAAAGTAGCCGACGGGCAAGCTTTTTCCTGTAGAATTCTGCAAAAAGGTCTTTGTCACTGATATAAGTAAGAAACTTAACAACCTTGTCAAGCATTACTTCAATGGCCTCATCACTCAACTTCTGACTCCCACCCTTTTTGAGGATATTTTCACAGAATGTTGCGAGTAATTGAGCACTTGAATACCCAGAAACAGCTTTATTGCAAAATACATCAAAGGCCTCTCTCAGAGCTTTGTGGAAGACATGGTTTTTGATTGAGCAGTCATTAAAGTACGCCATATGCTTATCATGAAGCTCGATTATGTTTGTGACAAGGACCTGTTCCAGCATGCCAGAAGATCTATCTGAAGTCTCGTTACTTGCAGTATATTCAGCCTGTTGGACCAACGATTTTACTTCAAAACTAACTTTCTGTTTTAATATTTCAGCAAGCGGTTCAAACAACTCATGCTGCACTTTCTCCACCAACTTCAATTCACTGCTTGAATGCAAGTAATGAGAAACTCTATCCCTCTCCCTTCTCAAGCACTCTTCGGCCTTCACTAAGAAATCAGGACAGAAATCCTCCAAAAGCCAACTTGCTGCTTTACGAGAATAGTATTCGCCAGCATGTCTTAGCATGTGCGCCTCAAAGTCCTCTTCATATGCATCCATTCGTCCCATTCCAATTCCAACAAATAAATCTATCACATTCTTCACTAGTGCTCTGTCAATCTGCTCTCCCACGCGTTCACTATCAATAAGACCAATTACAGTAACTCTAGCATTGACTTGTACTTTTCGATAAACCGAATCGCGGAAACAGGTAATTCCAACATCATTCAGGCTAGGAAGCGATCTCCTAGGGATGAAAAACCGATCAAGAAAATTAAAACAATTTGACAGCCACCTAATCATAATTTTATAATTCGTCCATCTTTTCACAAGCTCTTGCAGCATAAGCTCGCCGTGTTTCTCATTTACAGATGGCAGCACCGTTGTGGTTACATAGTCCTCCAACGCCGCCCTATACTTATCGTAAAGCTGTTGAGAGTAATTGTGAGGCGGCTTTTGGGTACACATATTGTAGACAGTTGTGTAAAGGGTCATATATTCAACGGAACTGAACTGAGGCTCCGGTAATCCTTCTAAAATCCTCTTTAATTTTGCAAACATACTCGATATATATTCCCATCCTTGATCCAACTCGATAAGTGGCCGAAATTGACTACCTATATAATCAAACGATACGCGTAATGGGGTAAATTTAAAAGCTTTGAAACAGAATCATTGACAGAACTAATTGTGGAACCAGAAAAGTAACATCAGATTTGCTTGCTAGTACAACAATTCATCTTTTATGGAGTGGATAAATTTGATAAGAGAACAATACCAGTAAAACAATTGTGTTGTAAATAGTTAATTTCATGGAATTCATGGAAAGAAGCGTACCTGAGTCCACACTCATAGCTGCCGGAGAATTGTGAGGGAGGAGCTGATGACGGTGGAGAAGAAAACCCAAGAAATGGAAAATGGAATAGATGATCGGAGATAGGCCGAGCAGCTCCGCCGATCCTCTTCAGTTTAGTCAACAGCTGAGCTAGCTCATCCACTGCCCATCCGCCGTACTCTCTCTCTCTCTCTCTCTCTCTCTCGGAGAAGAAGAAGCAAAAAGTCGGAGTCGGAGAAATGAAGTAATGGGATAGTCTCCGTGTCTCCTGAGTGGAATTTATACATTAGGGTAAAATGCCATTTGACCCCTGAAGGATTTCCTAATTAGAGATTGACCCCTAAACTATTTTTAATAAATTTAATTAACTATGTAAACTTTTTGAAAACAATCAATTGACACCCTGCTGTTAGATTCCATTTATTTTTTTCTGTTAAATCGAAGGGCAAAGTGGCAAACTAATCTTTGCATCATGAACGTAAATTTTATTTTCAAAACCCAAAAGAAAATTAAAAGGAAATAATACTTGGCTACTCAAAGATGTATAAGAACTCATACTCAAAATTCTTAGTGTTTTAATCGCAGAGCTTTTTGCTTATGAATAGAACCGTTCATATTATTAATCACTTTGTAAAGATCATCTCCGCAAAAAATAAATTAAAACTAAGCTCGTTTAGTCAATCTATTGTAGCAAATACATAGACGGTTCATAATGCTTTTACCAATACCGTTAATTTATTTTTAAATAGTTTGATGACTAAACGGCCTTAGTTTTAATTAATTTTTTTTAGTGACGATCTTTATATGGTGATTTATAATATGAACAGTTTTGATTATAAACACGAAGTTTTATAAATTGACAGCGAACAATTTTGAGTAGGAGTTCCTATTCATCTTTGAGTAGCCAAGTAAATATCATAATTCCACTCTAACTAACACTAAGACATTTTGTGATAAAACCTCACACCTGACGGATTGTGCATGTAGTAATTACCAAGTTGGGAACAATAACCATGTTGGTGGAAGTGGGTCTTTGGTCCATGTCTCTAATAATTCTACAACCCACATCAAGGAGAGAATTTTCAGTATGATATTTCGGCGTGTAATACCACGTTTATTTATATAAGTGATGCGATACTTATACCTTCATTTATATAATTACATATGGTATGCTACCTGTGTTCTGGACATACTAATATATTGAACTTACACTAGTATAGTAATAGTGTTATATGTGTTAAAGTTAAGTTGTTTGATTCCTATATACAGGTATCAAACTCAATCAAACTATTGTGAAAAGATCTAAGTGATCTAAGTTGCTCTATCTCACTTATGTGAAATATCCCACATTGAGCATATATATGAGAAAAAGATTAGTTTAAATATACTAACCCACTGCACCTAATACCGATGCCTTTTGTGATAAAACATCACACCTGATGGATTGTTCAGGTGGTAATTACCAATATTGGTGTTGTGAGTAGTGGGCATTTGGCCTGTCTCTCTGATAATTCTACATGGTATCAGAGTCAGAAAGCGCGCTTGTATTGCCACGTGATATGTGGGTCCCTTGGGCATGAGCAATGATGGTGGGTCCCTTGGCCCCGCATGTAGGGTGAGTCCCCTTGGCTTTAGGTGGTTGCCGATATGTGGATCTCCCACGTGAGGGGGTGTTGAAATATCTCATCTCTAAGAAAATATGAGTTTAAATATCCCAACCCCACTCCAACTACCTTTTGAGATAAAACCTCACATCTGACGAATTGTGCAAGTGGTAATTAACAAGATGGGGGCAATATTGATCTTATTGAAAGTGGGTCTTCGACCCATCTCTTTGATAATTCTACAACTTACACATGAAAAAATAATTAAACCCTACCCTATAAAAGATTTATTCAACTAGGAAACATGAAAGTTAAAGTATAAGTCATTGCAAAGTTTTGTAATTAACTTTTCGATGTAACAAATTGTTAAAAAATTTCAAGCCTAATAAGTTGACAATTTAAATGGATGACATGAAATACATGTACTTATTGGACTTTACAGGCAGGCGAACTAGCTCTGATGCATAAAGAAAGTTGATGCTTTAACCTAAAAAACTATTGGAAACAGAGTGACTCAACTCTTTATAGGCTTATTAACTTCCTAATTAAGAACAATTCTTTACATCTTCACACGTACAAAGAAAAAAAATAATTTAAAAGTCCATATCCATGCCGTATTGGCCTATTACACAAGTGCTACATTAGATTTAGCATTTTTAATGTGGAAATTGAAGTTTTAAATCATGAAGTGTTATATTTTTTTTAGTAGTACAAAACTATATTTTACACTAAGGAGAGAGGGGAATTTGACTAAGTTACACAATAAGCAACCTAAGTCCTAAGCCCAATAGGAGTACCCGAGCTCTATGCAGAGATTGGAATGGATTGGTGCCGAGGAAGTACAATCTAGATAGGACCCTACTTAGGCATAAGGTGAAAATCACTCCTATAAATAGAAGATGACCTGCAAGATTCAAAGTCTCTTTAACATACACACAATCTGCCATGCGCAAATTCTCGCTCTACGCGAAACTCTCTCACCTTTGAGAAAACATGAACCTTCCTAACTTCATCAAGCTTATCTCTTAGTTTGTATACACATCTATGTGGTTGACAACCGGTGACATCTCTTAGTTTGTAGAACCTACTCTGGAGCTGTAGAGTCAGGCGATCATGGAGTATCTTCCAATTTGGATAAACATCACTACTTCAAGCTCAGCTAACTACCTATCCAAGTCTCTGGCGACAAGGAGTCTTTAAGTATGTGTTGAAGGAAGTATCTCATAGCTTTCTCAGTGAAGTGAGGTATTACCGATTCGGCGCACTTATATTTGCACAAATATAATTGAAGCAGCTGAGCATGGTGCAGATGATCCTTGAACTCCGCAGTGACTAGTAGCCTTGTCTTCAGGCTCTAGAACCTAGAGGCTGAGACAAATTTCTTCTTCGGCCACAATTGCTTAGATAAGAAGTTAGTAGCGTATTCGACACCATCACCATGCATTCATTTACTCACCGATCGAGCTCTGTCGACTAGTTGGCATGCTTCGCATTCAACTAAATGATGTAGTTAGCTCATTAGTTATTCGACTTATGCACCACGCAAGCTTGGTAGTTTTTTAAGTCCACGTTTACATGAGAGAGGAAGAAAAAGAGCTACAAAATGCAAGGGATCTGATCTCAGTCAAAGGATGGATTTGGGACAAACAAAGTAGTCAGGAACCCTAGCCTCGGTTGAGATATGAGTAGCCGGCCGGCAGGGTTTAACTTTACTTTGGTGACATCGCAAAACAAGACAGAAAAGTAGCCTTTACCTTTTTAATCTCTGCCAGATGTAATGTCTGTCAGTACTGTTACATTGCGCGTTTATTTCTTCCCTGCTCGAATATGGAATATTGGAAGGCTAAGTAATTAATTAGTGTGGTTTTACAACCATTATGTGGCACTATTTCTTCACCTTTAATTAGAGTGCTATATGCAGAAAGAAAGAGCAAAAAAGTTAACCAATCTGGATAATTCCTTCTTTATATCATATTTAGGAATTTCACAAGTGTTTTTTATTTTTAAGGTAGAATCATAACTGTCCTTGGTTTCTTGCTTCATACATTGGAACCTTGAGTACTCAAATTAGTCGTTAATTAGGTGCCGATGTGCCGTAAGTATTAATGGAATAGCGATTAAATGCTTATGTTTTCAGTATGGGTAATGCTCGGAAAACTAAATTTCAAAACCAAATTTTATTAACCAAATTTTATGGATGTTGATAATTGAATTATTACTTAAGTATTGATCTTGACATGAAAAGACAATTCATGTAGTCCTAAATTCCATCATAGTATATGGAGAAACTGGTCGACTTAAGGAGGGTCAAACCTTTTGTGTTCGGCTTTGAATCGATGAAGGAAAAGTTCATTAATAAAAAATGTACAGCCCGTTTTTCTTGTATTGGTCGCTAATTAATTGTTAGATGAATCGTATTTATACACTACAAATTGGGTTTTCTTTTTCTTCTTGTTTGAAGAAAAAATTGGGTTTTCTTGGTTCGCGTTTTTAAGGGGATAGGGGCCGTTCTATCGGGGGCTTGGCTCCTTCCATTTGCTCTAAGTCCTGGTGTGTAGTCTAGCCCACCCAATTTTCAAGAGCTAAGTTTTCTCTGTTTCGGTTGTAATCCTTTATTTTATTAAATATAAATCATCATTTTCATCCAATAAAAAATTTAAAAAAAAAAAAAAAAAAAATCCACTACCCAAACTGTACAAATATGTGGTCGCTGCTTCAAACATGGATTATTATTAAAAATTGCTACTAAAACAGGTGAAAAAAGATGCATCAAAATCTGAAAAGTTACAGTTTTTCATTTCATAACTTGCATTTTATGGTGCTTCATCATGATTCTAATGTCGACCAAAACTGTTTCAGACTGAGTAGAGTTGCCTTATTTCACACCTTTCAAGCTTCAGGCTTTTGTAGTCTCCGAGTAGTTTCTCAACCTGAATTCGATCGTCCCCTTCTCTCCGACATTGTGTTTTGTTGGACCGATGCATGCTTATTCTTGCCAGCACTGCCAGCACCAAAATTAAAATGGCAATACACGCCACTGCACACATAAAAAACCACAAGTGTAAGAGGCTATATCTCCAACTAGAATGACTTTTATAGGAGGCACTTCTATTCATATACGCTTATATTATAAACATGTTGAAATCTTCACTAAGAATCCAAATGCTTCATGAAAAAGCACATCTGTTTGGTGCTTTTCCTAAAACTACTAGACATGTTAAGTGCTCCTCCAGAAAGCACTAAGGAGTGCTTTTATGACCCAAAAAAATGCAATATAGTGTATTAAAAAGTTTATTTAATCATCGCTTTTGATTGTCTAAAATACTTGGAAGTCCTAAGCTTCAGGGCTAAGTAGAAGTCACGCCTACACGTGCAATTTAGATTGGAATAAAGAGTAATATTGTTGACAGTATC